AATCAAAACAGATTTCCAAGCAAGCAATTACCTGACACAGAAATCGGCAATGGCGTACCATTATTATACAATCGGGGACTATTCCAATGCTGCAAACAAGTACAAAAAATTCCTGAGACGCCGCTCTTGGTAGAGAACTTTCATCAAGGAGGGTGGCAACCTTGTGATAATTCAATCCATTTTCAAATTAACGCGATGCTACCTTGCTTTGAGTCAATTTGACAAGGCTGAAATTACCTTACAAGAGCTATCCGACCCAAGAAGAGGGACTGCTATGGGCTGGAGCCACTCGCTTTTTAATGAACTTGCTTGTCTTCATTCTAAAATAAAAGCCAGATCAGCTGAGGCAAAGGATCCCAATAGGGCAAGTCCATACTTCAGTATGATTGACTGAAGTTTGATGGGTTTGCTCACCTATGTGACATCTCATTGACTTTGTTATCAAATTTCCAGGCACTTGAAATCTTGAGACTTGAGCGTAGTCTGAACAGTGTACAGCGACATAGTCAAGTGATGATTTGCAATAGAAACCACAAAGAGGTCGTTGAAATCATTTCTAAAAGCCTCACATTCCTTCTCATTGATAACAAAGACCTGAACACACCTCTCAAGAACCTTCTTGCTGAACTTCACCTCAGTCTTGCCAAATCATACACCCATTTGGGCCAACCTACTGTGGCGCTCTCCACAATGGAGCCAATTTGGGGTTCAAAAACAAATTTATCTATCAGCTGGAGCCATATGCTTTTTGAAAGGATGGCAAACTTGCACTGGGTGCTGAAAAAAAGTGATGCATAATATCATTTTGATAAGCCAAATAAGCTACCTAGTGTTTTCTTATATAAACCATACCTATCTCCATATAATAAGTGTTATTCATACCAAACCATTTCAAAAGATGTATTGCTTGAGTTTTATCTGTATCTGGATCTCTCATTTCCTTTTGATGATAGAAAAAACAACCCCCTATAATCACACAAACAAACCCCAAAACCCTCATTACTCTGGGTGGTCCACCAGGGGGAGAGAGAGAAGAGAAGGATGTACTAAGATGATGGAGAACTTGTCACCAGTGCGTATGTACAATGCAATAACAAATCATCAGCTGTAATGAGAAAGATTCCTTTGAGAACAAGATCTGGAAATTGATCAGATCATAGAGACTTCTGTTGTGGACCAAACCTCAAGATCTTAAACTGGTCATAAGAGCACAGGCTGAAGAAATTTTTGTTGGAATCTGAGAAGCTTTGGACGGATGATGAAGTGAAATTGACCCAAGCGGTCCCACATGATCCAAGGTTAATTGCAATTGGGGGAAGAATCAAGATATGTTGAGATCCACAAAAATATGTGTTCCTTTTGAGTTGATGTTCACAAGGAAATTGGTGCCTAAACATGTAGCACTGTGTGTTGGGAAGCATGGGTATATTCTTGGTATGGGGCGAGCACTGGCGTTACCCAATCTGTGTAGGAGTACGAGAACAAATTTTGTCAATAATGATTAAAAAATATGTGAACGAGAGGTTTGAAGCTGACTTTTAATGAAATGATTGACTTGTTCAGGAGCACAACCAACAAATGTTTTGGGGTCCAAGAGTTGGTCCAATTTGGAATGAATGGGTTTGAAGAAAGGGTCGTTTTGGATGCGCTCAATCAAGTCGTTGTTATTGCCACCTTCCTCCTTGATCACTTTTGCTCGCGATCATAGAAGTCAGAATTTTTGGCTTGACAGCCAAAGAAGGCCAGCGCGTTAGGTTGAGATGATACGTCAGAAACGTGATGGGTCAATTGATCTTGAATGAGTGCTCAGAAGGGAGAGGTCCCCGTGCCTGGTCCGACGCAGATCACCGGCTGGCTTGGGTCTTGCAGAAACGTCCCTGCACAATTGTTGCTCATAGCTGATTCCCTTGCAAAGATCAGTTTTCTGGATCCCCAGTTCATTGTTTGTCCCTCCTCGATCATTGTCCCCTTTAAGCTGGCATTCCCGACACACGTTTCTTTGTTGTATCACCGCCTGTATCCAAGCTCTAGAGCATGGAAGCTTTGTTGGTTTGAACTTTGTGCAAAAACATTTAAGTAAACCATTTAACTTTCTTTGGGAAAATTGAGCCTGAATTTTCATTCATATTTGACTCTAATCCTCACTTCTTGAATACCCGGCCATTGTGGTAAGACCAATCAAAATTTGTTACATCTTTCTACCGCCTTTCTGGACCATTTTTACATCTTCTACATATCATAACAACCATCAAACCAACATCCTACATATGTAATACCCTCATGGCCACCTTCAATCACCTCATAGACACTACCATCAGAACCACAAAGGCCAACAACCCATCAGCGACACTTTACATGGATCACCCACTTGGTAATAAAATAAATACAAATTAGGTATAAAGTGGGAGAAAGTCCACCATCCAAGAGGGCCAGACTATTAGGAAAGACCCTTATCCTTCAGCATCTTTTTTTCCCTTCTTTACATACCATGGCAATTCACTACAGTAGCCACTTATGTCATGTTTCTATCCCTGTTGCTTCAGCCTTGTTTCACCCTTGTCACACATGCCATTCCCAAGCCTGTCTCCCAAGCCATGTTGTTGCCTTGTTACATGTACCCTGTGATGATGCCTTGCTCCTTGTTTTCTTATTCCCCCCCCCCCCCAGAAGACTCATAGTGCTCTCTTGGCCCTTGTTATTTGACCCCTATCAGAGTTGTCATTATTGCTCCCTGGTCATTGATTTAGCATTACTTACTTGGAATATATTTAGCATTACAGAATTAAGACATTTCACACAGAATTATTATCCTCATACCTTACCCTTTTACAAATCTTACATCTTCATTTAGCCACACCTTTCTTTAAGAGTCCATACTCTTATTTCTTGTTCTCCTTACTCTTCCAGTAACCAGGGAGGCAGCCCTTCAAGCTCTCATCCCTCTCTAAGCTCTATTCCCACCAAAGAGTAGTTCCACACCGTACATCAAGATTAATATGCTCTGGAAAGAGAAAAAGCTGGTGGGTATGCTCTTGGATAAAACCTGTGGGCTCTCTCTGTTGGTGGCTGTCTTGGTCGGCTTTGGGAATATCCCATTTGGGTTCATCAATCTGGGCCTGTTCAATTGCCTCAGTTGGCCAACCACTGAGGGTGACTTCATTGGTTGTCAATAACCAATCATATGAAGGCTTGGTTGAGCTGTCAACCGAGCTTCCATCAATTGGTGCGTGGTGGCCAAG